TATTAAGGGCGTTAGACTCTGAGCAAAAGGCCGCGAGTTAGAGGCTCGCACGGTGCACCGCTTCAGTATGATTGGCTGACGGCGGCTAATACGCCAGAAATGGCCATTCCAGGCTCCCTTATCTTTGCCGGCAATACTATCTGACTATTCCGTCACCGGCCAGCCTCTTCGTGCATGCGCCAGTCGCCTGCTAGAGCCCACCGGCCTACTATCCGTGACTAAATCTGTCTGTTTGTTGCCCTAGGCTAGGACTTACGCTGACCCAGAGCGGATGAACTAACTCCTATCCTGCAGTTTGCTTCTGTTTAATTCTTTTTACCTATAAGTCACAATTTTATATTCAATTAAGCAGGTAGATGCATTTGACGGCTGTGGAGGAAAGTTAACTGTTTCAAAACAACTTAATACAGCTTGCTCCAGTTACATACTACACAGTGGTTATGCTGAGGCAGGCGATATGGGCAAGGCTTGCGGAATTAAAGTACTGTACTGAGGGCTTAGTAGCTGATTAATGGACTGAAATTGTAGCCGAATTCTTGAAGCTAATTTTCTTTTATTGTTCACGTTAGCATTACTTCGGGTTGGGCTTTGCATGCTTTCGTAGTATTTGTTAATATGTCACTTTGCACGTACGCGATAGGTCCGACCATCTAGTCTCCATGCTCGAGAAATCCTTCTTAATTGCTACTTAAGATGGGCTCGCTTAGTGTAGGGGAGAGGAAATAGTGTTGGCTTTGGATACTGTATTCAAATTTCCGCCCGTTAAAGCACAGAATTGGTTCTTCTCGTAGATCCTACACTGGCCTAGAGTACCATTATTTGCGCCTCCACCGGGACCTACAAATCACTTTTTGTTTATTTCGTTTGCGTATTTTCGGAGTATTCATTAGCCTCATGTAGTATGAATGGGTTACGTGAATTCAAAGACAGTCCCCTGGGACAGATCTCGGCTCTGAGAAGAGGTGGGAATAGCAGACTTTTCCCGCTAGTTATCCTGCCTGGTTAAGTGTAGAGCAGAACTCCGAGCTGCTGTAAATGTTCAGCCGGCATATTGTATGGAAATTTTGTGAACTCCTTTCGTTATCATAATGAATAAGGGCAGAGAACTGAGGACGGCTCCTATCCATACGTCGTATCCTCTCACTGGCCATTAAAGAAGGAAGGCATTTCATGAATGCAGCAATCCTTCGCCGTATAGAGCTTCAACTTTTGCGGCTTCACCCTGTCATGGACTTTTTTGCCGATTCGCAGATTCTTGCAGACAAGCGGCCTTTCATTTCTTAGTCCTGCTTTCTCTGCTAATTTGGCCAGTAAATTTCATACACGAGACGCTATTGACTGATGGCTGTATTACATCGTAAATAAAGCTCCTCAAGGTTATACGATACGTATAGTTATACGTTGTATATAAACAGTGCGTTTCGAGCACATAAGTTAAACGAATTTCATCGAAAAGCATATAAAGGCTTTATAATGCATAAACGTGTGGATGATGTTTATACGAATTTAGGCGGTTTAGAAGGGCCTAAAATAATAAAATTAACCATATTCGTATATTGTTTATACATCTCGGATTTTCACCTTTCGCTGGGGGGTTCTGGAACACAACTCCCACGGTCTAGGATGGATCACTGTATAATCGCTAATATGCAGTTTGTACCTCTTCCCAGCCGCCGACACAGGAGAACAAGCAGTGCCTTTTTCAGATTAAAATAATCGCTATCAGCTGTGAAAAAGTTTAACCTACTCCGAGTCGCCCTTAACAGACAGAACTGGAAAACAGACTGAACCACACAACAGAGGAAGATTTAAATAACCTCAGTTAGCAAACCTCCGTTTGCTGTCGTCTTTTAGACTGCATAGTTCGACGGTGCGAACGGCAGATATGTCACACCTCCCAGTTTCTCACGCTTGATGTCATTAAGTCATTGCTAAGATGAGACGCTTCAGTGTGCAAGTCACTACCCCTCGAGTTCGCGCAAATTTTTTTTTCGCAATAGAACAGAGGCAGGAGGAGGCGGGGCAGTGAGAGGTGGTGGAAGCTAATTTCCTCCTGACAGCCGATCTGATTATCTGAGTGAAGACGAACGCATCTCCCCTGCATCAAATCTGATGGATTGAAGGGCTCACGTACATCCAGTGAACAAATTTTAGCTCAGCATTTACAGAAAAAGTCACAATGCGGTCCGTTGCTCACCGGTGGAGTTGGGGGAGAAGGGATTGGGGGGGGGGCTATCGCACAATGCTAAAACAGTGTTCAATTAATTTTCCATGAACGTATGAAAGGGAAACTACAGTAGATTCCCTATCTCTTTCGGTTTTAAAAAAGTTTCTAATTATGAGCGTTTTTTGCGATTATGAGATGCTCATTCATTCCACATCACATACGTCAATTTACTAATGCTGCCTATAATGTATACAGCTTGTTGCTGCAATATTTTATGAGAACTATGTGACTTCTTCCTCAAATTATAGGCGAAAACGTGCTTTTCCTTAAACAGGATGTGCACAGCGCGCAGTTTGTAAACCTTGAATGGAAGTGTAGCAATCAGTAGGTTTAAAAATTATTCAGCAATTTAAAAACTTTTTAAAACCGATAGATAGCCCTTCTTTAACTATAAAATTTAAAGATGGCGCAATTTGCTACCAAACGAGTACAAGAATTATTTTTTTCGTTTATGTTTTCCATAAAATTTATGAATTATGAAGGCAGTCAAATTAAATGACGAAAAGGTATGCTACTCAAGTAGCCACTTTTTACAGTACATACTTTCTACTGGCAATCAAGAATAAGCTCGTTTATAAGACGGCATCCTGCCGTGGCCAAAGTATATTGAGATTAGGCTCTACGATCGTCATTATTACAATCATACGTAATTAATATGTTTGAATCGAAAACGCACTTTAGAATTCCGGGTGATATTTCATGAGATAGGAAATCTACTGTATATGAAACTAAAAACTATAGTTTATCGCTCGAGATGTTATCAAACATTAAAAATGATTTTTAAGACCCAAAAGGATTATGGAAGTAGAGCAGCATCATCCTAAAAAAATCTGTCACCCCAGGATATCGGCTTTCGAATGAGATTTCTTCCGACCGCCTGCAGAAACCACACAATATAAAAACAAGTAATTATATTATGCGTATTTTCCATTTAATTTCCGCTTTTTTATAAATAAAGGCATATTTCATAGAAGGGATGCCAAAAATAGTCTTACTCATATTCACTCGGTAGAAAATTACGTATTCCGCAAAATTTATATATTAAGAAAGGGTAGTCTTTGGTATGAAAATAAGTTTCTGAGCACTGGATTTTTTAAGACCGTGAATTGTTCATTCACAACAGCTTGTGTCAGTTCATTTAGCAATACTGCTTAAGAGTATGCAACGTGGTACAAATACATTAAGAAATTTTAGAAGGTATATCTGATGTAGCTTATAGAAATATGGGATTTTCCTTGCACCGAAAGTACAGAATTATTGCCTTGGAAACTCCGAATATAAAAAGAAAACAGAAGGTCGGTTTCAAAATTGTTCGGAAATTGAAAAAAGTCTAAAATCAAATAGTTCTGAACAGTAATGGCCCTTAAATTTACATTCGGGAATTCCGAACTACATGCTCTATACATTTGGCCTAAAGCAATGCACGCATTTCTCTTTCTTATATGGAAGAGGTTACATAGTTCTCAGAAAATTTAAAAATGAATTGGGAGCGCGTTAATAAATGGACGGATACGATATGCCATGAGGGAGCATTAGAAACCCTTTTCCAAACCGAAAGATACCCTACCGCTAAGCATGAAATTGGGCGACGTAAGTGCCTACCAAATGGGTACAAAAATAATAATTTTTCTATCTATAAAGTATATTTGAATTTACAAGGGCATCAGAAATCAATGGGAAGGGTCCATACTACGTTTCCAGTCAGCTTATTTAGATAGGTTTGTTTCAGTGGCTGACGGCAAGAAACCTGTTTAAAACTCAACATCTTGACGTGACTTAAATTTCCTTGTGATTATGATACAAAATTATTCTCACCAAAATCCAACTGAAGTGACATTTTCGAAGCGATAGGGAATTTCAGAATTTCGCGGAACATTTAATGGAATAGCAAGTCTCCTCTTTACACTTTTGCTGGATTTATTTCGAGTCTTTTGCAACCATCGTGAACAAACGTTTGTTCCTCGATAACAAATACACTTCGAAGCGTTCAAACGACAGCCTTGCAGACCTATGACAAAGTAGAATTTGCTAATATACCCGATTGCCTTGAGCAGTTAATGAGGATTTTTATAAACCCTATCTTTCTTTCACACAGGTATCGAGTGCAGGCTTAGAAAGGTAGGCCCAATCAGCGTACTGAAAGTCACTTTTGCCGCCATGACCTTTCGCCTGGAGCCTGAATGGGCGAAATTATCTCCCAGATCTGGTCTCAGTAGCCCAAATCACATTTTCGTTTGCTTGCTAGGCTTTCGGCGATTAAGGCTCTACGCTCAGGTGCCAGGTCACTGCCCTGGACACCGGCAGTGAATTTAATGCGACATGACTAGCAGTTGATCCTTGCTTGTATGCGAACTGCAGGGTTGACCCCCACACATCTACTCTCCCCACCCTTACCTTCCATCTCTATCCGTCGTTGCCGCTGTTCCCTTCTCCGGCGCCTTCTGTGTTTTATAGTTTCGCACGACCTGAAGGAAATTTAATAGCGTACGCGCGTGCGCTCAGCATGGCTGCTAGGACGTTCTAGGCTGTTCGGATTTTCTTCCATTAAGCACAATTAAACTAGAAATGTCGCATCTAGCCTACTGCGATGGCCAATTTATTGGGGGATTAGGCACTTGTCACAATAACTTATCCAGAGGCGCCTTGAGACCACGCTCGCCTAGCAGTAACTATTTAGAGCTAGGCGATCGAGCGTTAGCCTACCTTCTTAGCTGCCTAAGTTCCGCTTACTCCAAGTGTCTTAATCAAATTTCCCTTAAATGGAGTGAATGATATGGAACTGCAGTTGGCTCAAGTTAACCCGGCCAAATTGGGACAGACGTTTTCGGGCATAGCAAGCTTAGAGAGCGTGCGCTGCGCTCGAGGTCATGACTGTAAGTCCTGTTGAAATTGTCTGGCCTTCGGTGAGTGCGGATAAAGAAAGTGCCACAGGAAATCAATAGAAAAAATGTTTGTTGCTCAAGGTGCCACTTTTCACCAATTTTAGTTTAAACGACTGAAAATATGTGCATACAAAAGCTGGCCTCCTGGCATGTCTGAAAAACTTTGAAATTGTTTTGCGAGATAATCGGTATTACCATCTCACTTAATTATTCTTCCTGATGAAAATCGCATTTCAGAATTTTGCCCAATATTTCATAATACCGGTTACTGACTGCGCACTCACACACATTTTTCAATAAAAGGTAGCATTTGAGACTCATATCGGCAGAGCAACAACCATCCTATATTGAGCGTCTGCTGTCATGTCCTTTAAAGCATTTCGGCAGTACATATAACACGTTTACAACATCCCAAACCCCAAAGCCATAGACTGCTTCCTCGGAGTTTCCTTGTTATTTTAATTTTTATGCTTTTGTCCTTCGTATCTGCAGTTCTGGAGGCCAAAAATCTCACCCCGATGGATCCGAACGGTCTGGCGGATCCCTACGTCAAACTGAAAATCACTCCGGCTGAGGACACCTCAAAGATTAAACTCAAAACAAAGATTATCCGTTCCACCCTGAATCCACAGTGGAATGAAGAATTTCAAATGTAAGTTCAGAGGAACTCTGCCATTTCTTCCTCTCTTTTTTTACTGTCTAAGCGTTTTCTTGCCTTCTCGGCTTCTCGAAATTGTCAGTGACAGTGGGATTGACTGCATTAAACCAGATCTCGTATAGCATTCCTAATGTTTTCCAAAAAGCTCCCTACCAGCGCTAGTCAATTGACCTGGAGTTACTGAAATTTGCCCTGTCTTCTATAAAATATGCCGCTAGTTCTCAAAGCGTAATTTAATTTGTCTGAGGCAAACACATTCCTCTGCTCCACAATCGTGGACGAAGCAGTTGACAATACCGAACAGAAAATGAAGAAGCGATCACTGGAACAAGAGTTTTATTGTCCTGACGTTTCGGATTCCGTCAGGAATCCTTAGTCATAGGTAATCTTAGAGAATTCTATTGGCAATACCGAACAGCTTATTTACACGGGCTGCACATGCCCTGGTCGCTCGTTCCCAGCACGCCAGGTCTCATTTTCAAAGTATTTTGCATCTTACGTGGGTCAGAGTGTTATATGGGTAACGATAACGAGGCGCAGTTTAGTGCAGTCCTCAACCTCCAGTATAAGTGAGTTAGCACCTAAATGGGAAGACTTTCAAACTCCAACTGTTGGCGTACTATGATTGAGTAAAGGTGCACTGAATTGTTGGCGATGAAGACTTAATGTCCGGGTCCGGGCTGGATTGACCTCACCCTAGCAACCTGTTGAGTTAACTGGCCTGATGTGGGTCAGCGGCCAACTCCTTCTGGATAAAGAAGTACTGTAAAGGCGACAATAAAAAGAGACCATTACAGTTTGATCCACGCTATCGCTTTGCCATATTGCAGTAGGGCGAAGCATGTTATGATTGTTTTAATGAGGAACGCGCTGAATTAGCAGGATTAAATGTGCCTTAGGACCGGTGTAATCCCCCTGTTTTATCTCCCACAGTCTAGTGACCCTCTGGTATTGAGGGCTTTGACTGACATTTTGGGAGTAAACATGTAGAGGTTGTAGCTCAAGTGATTAGAACGCTGGCATTTGCTCTCGTTGTTGTGGGGTCTCGTGGATGAGGTGTATAGAGCGCTGGCTGCACTTAAGTCTTGCTCTTCCTGTCATGGGTTAGAATCCCAGTTAGGCGCTGAGTTTTTCACAATTTGGTCAAAGGAATTATTTTGTGAATGTTTTTTTGTCTACATCGGCATCTTATATGTTGATCACTTGTGCAACCAGAGCTCACCTTCACCAAGCGCGAAGGTTTTACATGAGTTCCAGATGCAAATGTTTATGTATGACGTTTTTTTGATTGCAACACTGGCCAATAACACCGCAATTGACGCAAGAGTGATCCACGATTTTTCTCTGAAATTTGACATGTGTATGATTGAATAACTACCGACATTTTTAAATGTGCTTTTTTGAACCGAGACGACCTGGTTAAGCTGTTTCACTGATGGTCTTCCTTATTCAGCATATAAACGAACAGGTTGACGCGATATTTTGATTTATTTAGACAGTCGGGATGCATATAGTAAATCTGTAGTCAGGATGCGATGGATTTGCAGGTAACTGACCTGGTCGGTGTGTGATTCGTATATACAGTCATTACGGGGATAGGTTGGCAGCGTGTCTACATTTTTGGTGGTGGGTGTGCTTCGTGTCCTGACTGTGTCCCCATTGCCGGGAAAACCGACATCGGCGAAGCGGGCATGGAACTTGGTGCCGTAGTAAGGAAAGGTGGGGGAAGCGTCTGCTGGATGATGTTGGTGGTGGTTTGTGGTAGAGGAGATGGGTTAATGGTTTTGCCATTTCGAGAAGTCAGGAAACGTCACCCGAGGTCAATTCATGTCCCAAATGTCAAATGGAAGCTCGAACACTGGCAGGGGCGAGGTGGCGGCGTTGGTTCGTGACATTCACGTCTTCCCGGCTTCACCTTAAAATTTCTCCGACAAACAAACTCATTTACCGAAGGAGTAGCTCGCAATTAAATCACGTTTTCTACATCAGTATTTAGTGAACACGCCCTAAAGCAAAGGGCTCTAGAACGACCTTTACTCACAAAAATAGTTGGCAACGAATGCCCTGCGCACGTACGGAATCGTAAACATCAGTAATAAACAAGTCAGAAAGTGTTAATCAACCACGGAAGTCTGAGTGTTTTTTGTTGCCATCTCCCGTAAAAGTTAATTAAAACACAGTCCTCGTCTGTTATCACTGGTTGACTCAAAATGAAACTTTAATTTACTAATTACTGCTGTAAGTAAACTCATTTTCAGAGATAATATCTGAAAACACGTAAGGATTTCCGGACCGAAGGGCATTTAGGAAACATTGTTGGCATGGAAGTTCAATGCACGAACCGTAGCGCAATGACCCTCACAGTTACGTTTAATCTAATCATAAAAATAGTTGGCGGAGGATGTTATGCGGGCATTAGGAGTTGTATAATTCCTACGTGTCCTTGGTAAACTGTTGCCGACTTCTTCCAAAAGACATAAATGCATTCGAAATAGGGCAGTTGTAATCTTGACCCTTCAAGCTGATCAAATCAATTCGTCATTGTACGAACTGGAAAAGATGAGGCGTGGAATGCTGGCCTTAGAGCACTTGGGGGAGGGGTAGCAGGGCGCAATGCATGTAACTTAAATAAGTCACACATGCGTGGGAGGGCTGAACAGAGCGTTACGATGGTTTCCGGAGTGGGGGCGTACGGTTAGGGTTCGTTGAGTTGGAAAGGAGGCGATGATCCGTCAGAGCGAGAGAGACTGCGGACGACCGGATTGTGATGGACCATTGCTGCTTTAACACGGGCGCTGAGAGTCACTGAACTGCGCAGATGGACCTTTATGCTGAGCGTCATGGTCGAGAAGACGGCTGTGGCTGCGGCTGTGCG